ACTTATTTTTATACTAATTTGTGGTGCTATAGTAATGAGAAGCAGTCCTGTTACACAACATTCTAACATCCTAACCTCTAAAGCATCCTAGGCTAAAACACATTGCCATGGTGGTCATAAAAATGTTCATGGGCTAATTATATCTTACCTTGGATGACGTGATGTGCAGACCTTTGAAATTTTATCTATTAAACTGAAAGAACACTGTAAGCACCAAGTTCACAGCACCAAAAATAAGAACTTGTTAATAATATCTGTTGTTATAGTGTCTGAGTTATAATGAATTTAAAGTAATGGGTATCAATCATTTTTGTTTTACTTTGAATAAACTACAATAATATATTATTTTTAATTCTTTTTTTATTTTGTTTTGAAGAATTACTATAACTATATTTTCCTTCTGTAGCTGAAAACAAACATGTCTCAGAGCTGAGGATTGTGCTGTTCGGGTACAGATATGCTGGAAAGAGTTCAGCAGGGAACACCATCCTGGACAGAGAGGAGTTTGAGTTAAAGAGAACTGCTCAGTGTGTGAAGAGACAGAGATAAGTAGCAGGGAGACACATCACTGTGGTTGAAGCTCCAGGATGGGGGAGGAACACACATTTAGAGGAGAGCACTGACTTACTGAAACAGGAGATTGTGCTCAGTTTGTCTCCTCTAGGACCACATGCTGTATTGCTGATTATACCTTTGAAATTCATGCTTAAAGATTCTGTTAGAGAAGTTTGTGAAGGATATCTGAAGATACTTGGTGAGAGAGTATGGAGTCACACGATAGTTCTGTTCACTTATGGAGACTTACTTGGAGATAGAACCATAGAGCAGCATATTGAGGGAGATACAACAGCCCTCCAGTGCCTGGTTGAGGAATGTGGGAACAGGTATCATGTTCTCAACAATGAGAACAGGAGTGATGACACTCAGGTCACAGAGCTGCTGGAGAAGATAGAGGAGGTGGTGGCAAGAAACAGTGGCTGCTGTTTTGAAATAGATGGAAATATTTTACAGGAAGTGGAAGAGAAGAGGAGAGCAGAGGAAAAAAGAGCAAGAGAGAGGATGTTAAAAGTACACAAACAAAAACAAGAAATGAAGTCTTGTATGGGTGAGCAAATTTTTTTTAGCATTATTATTATTATTCTGTAAGGACATCTTTGTTTTGAGTGAGAAATTGCACAAGTAGTCCTCAGGGAGCAGGTTGTGGAGACAGCATTTTTCTTTTATTCTGAACATAGCACAAATTGCTTAGTTTTCCAGCCTGCGTACAAAAATTAAAGAGCTCAGATGCAGGGAATTTTTCAGCCATTTTTCTTTCTCATGACTCCACTGCTCTCCTACTGTCTCTGGGCTCTGCCACCAGAGAAAAGAGGGTGCTATAAGTCGGCCGACAGAAACAAGGCACAGGCGAATCTAATCAGCTACTCGGCCCACTGGTTCGGCATGACTCGCTCTCCATCCTGCATGTGACAGTCGACCACTCCCCCTCCTCCACATACCCCAACAACCCGACTCAGGCTGGGCAGTCATCTGGCAGGAAGCCCACCCCCCCTCATTCAAGCAAAGAAAGAAGTCAGCCACCACCATCTGAGCACCTGGCTGGTGAACAACTTCAAATCTAAGGGTTGAAGGGCTAGGTACCAATGAGGAATTCTAGAGTTGGTATCTTTCATGAGGTGAAGCCACTGGAGAGGAGAGTTGTCTGAACAGGGGGCAACCCAAAATTAATCCTCAAAATTAGAGGATGGGAAAGGCAAGGACCAACTTCCACCTTAACCTTATGTTCATTCATTAATTCATTCATCCACTTTAACTGCTTAAACCAGTTAGGGTCATGGTAGCAGTTGGGACAGCAAAGAATCCCAGATGACCCTGTCTCCTGAAACTTCCTCCAGCTCATTCCAGGGTACCCCAAGCCACTCCAAGGCCAACTTGGAGATATAATCCCAGTAGGCCATGCCTGGTAAACCCCCCCTGGGAGGTGTCCAACCACCTAGTGGCTCTACTCCGAGCTCCTCTCAGGTGACCTCACCCTGTCAAGTAGAGTGTAGCCCACCACCCTGCAAAGAAAGCTCATTTCTGCCACTTGTACTGGCGATCTCTTTCTGTCATTACCCACAGCTCATGACCATAGGTGAAGAATGGGATGTAGACTGACCGGTAAACAGAGAGCTTTGCCTTATGGCTCAGCCTTGACACCCTGTCCATGAATATCATGAACGCGAGTGGAGACAAGACACAACCTTGGTGGAACACTCACATTGAAAGAGCTTGACTTAATGGCAAGTATATGGACACAGCTCTCACTCTGGATGTACAGAGATTGAATGGCCTGGATTAGTGGCTCCGGCACCCCATACTTCTGGAGAACCTCCCACAGGATATCTCAGGGAACATGGTTGTAAGCTTTTTCCAAGTCCATTAAAACACATGTAGGCTGTGTTGGCAATTTCCCCTTCTTAATCTTCGACTATCGGTCAGAGTCTCCTTTTCAGCACCTTGGCATAGACTTTCCCATGGAGGCTGAGCAATGTGATACCCTGGTAGTTGGCACACACCCTCTGGTCCCCTTTCTTAAGTATTGGGACCACCACCCCGGTCTGCCAGTCCAACGGTACTGTTTCTGAGGTCCATGCAGCATTGCAGAGACGTCCACGACAGCCCCACAACATCCAGAGCCTTAAGCATTTCCAGGCAAATCTCATCCACCCATGGTGCCTTGCCACTGAGGAGTTTGCCAACTATCTCAGTGACCTCCACCAGGGAAACTGAGTGACATGCCAGAAGCCTCTGGTCCTGACTTGTGTGAGGGAGGCATGTCTGTCAGGTTAAGGAGTTCCTTAAAGTGCTCCTTCCACCGATCGACAATATCCTCGCTTGAAGTCAAAGTTTCTGCACCCCCACTGAGTATAGCTTGGACAAAGCCACCCCAACTGCTCCTGAGTAGATGGATAGTCATCCAGAACCTCCTTGAAGCCAACCAAAAGTCTTTTCCATGGCCTCACTAAACTCCTCCCACACCCTGGATTTTGCTGCAGCCACCACTGCCACCGCTGCCTTTTTTGCCCTTTGGTACCTATCAGGAGTCAGGAGTCCTCCGGGCCATCCAGTCCCTAAAGGCCTCCTTCAGCTTGATGGCCTGCCTCACCACTTGTGTCCACCAGGGGGTTCTTGAGTTACCACCCTGACAGGGACTAACAAGCTTTTGGCCACAGCTATCAGTACACAGCCATCGCATTCTTCGGACAACAACTAACTTCTGAAGGAATTGCGGAGCTATTGGACCAACATAAAAAAGGGCCGATCAAACTCCCATAGCATCAGTAAGCAAAGCTGCTGCTGGTGTTGTTCAGGAGTCTGACTAACCCTCTGAAGGACGGTTGTTTCAGATCATTGTATTCCAGCTGTGCATGAGCTGTAAGCTGTTAGACAGCAAGCTTGGCTTCGACTGTGAGCAGAGGAAGCAGTCAGATTGCCCAGTCCTTCTTTGGCCACCCCAGTCTTCTGCTGCTCTCTCAAAGAGCTCTACAGTCACTTCTAGTTCATCCTGGGGAGTCATCTTCAAGATGGAGATGGTGGCTGGAGCTGAAGTACTGGTTGCTGTCAACAAGCCCCACATAAACTTCTTGTCCACCTCTTGGCCCTTGGCCAGGGCCTTGAAGCAGGCCTGGTTTTCCCTCTGGAAATCCAGGAGAGCCTGATGTTAGGTCTCCTGCTGAAAGGGGAGCACTTTAACAATATCTTCAAGCAGTGAGGACTCCATGGCAACATTTGTCCACATGTCCTGGGTTTTGGCACCACTGTACAGACCTTTGCGAGGCTGAGAGGAGTGAGAACACTGGGAGCAGGTTGTGGAGACACAGAGTTTTCCTTTTATTCTGAACCCAACACAAATTGCTCAGCTTTTCAGCCTGCATACAAATTAAAGAGCATGTTTGCAGAGACTTTTTCAGTCCTGTTTCTTTCTTATGCCTCCACTGGGCTTTTTCTGTCTCTGGGTTCTGCCACCTACTGAGAAAAGAGATTGCTGAATCTTATCAGTTACCTAGCTCTGGTTCAGCATAACTGGCTCTCTGTCTTGCATGTGATGCTTGGCCATGCCCTTCCTCCACAACTTGATTTGTGGTTTATTAACCAAAACTATTATCAGTATCATCTTTAATACCAATAGTAAGACCCTTCGGTGCAGAACACAAATACATGAAGACACATGCACTTCTGCCATGTGGCCTACATGCATCCAAAACGTTACAGAGGTCCTAATGGATTTCTGAAGACATTCTTAAAAATAAAGCTGCCAAAAGTGTTCTTTGAATCATTTTTATAATTAAGATGTGTGAGTGTGCAGAATTTTTTTAGCTTTAAAGAATCTCCATATAATTTAAAAGTCTGATGCCACTTTGGGTGATTTTTTTTTCTGAGAGCAACATGTCCAGAAAATGCTAACAAGTGTTCTGTGTAAGGTACTGTGAAAAATGTCAATTGACCAACTACATGCCTTATTTTGCCATTGTCTTTGTAACAGCTGTAGATGTTCAAGCCACATTCAGCTGTTATGGATGTGATGTAAAATTTTATAGTTTGTCATTTTCATCACAGGTGATATCCATCTCTCTGAACTGAGGATTGTGATGTTAGGAAAGAGATATGTTGGGAAGAGTTCAGCAGGGAACACCATCCTGGGCAGAGAGGAGTTTGAGTTAAAGAGAGCTGCTCAGTGTGTGAAGAGACAGAGAGAAGTAGCAGGGAGACACATCACTGTGGTTGAAGCTCCAGGATGGTGGAGAGGTAAACCTATAAACTGGACTACTCAGTTACACAAACAAGAGATTTTGCTCAGTGTGTCTCTGCTTCCTCCAGGACCCCATGCTGTTCTACTACTAATAGACATAGTAACCATAAAATACAAATGTACAAAAGTAATAGAGGGATTCCTGAACCATCTCAGTGAGAGAGTCTGGAGAAGATAGAGGAGATGGTGGCAGCAAACAGTGGACGCCATTTTGAAATGGACAGAAAGATCCTACAGGACCTGGAAGGGAAGAGAAGAATAGAGGAAGAGGGAGCAAAAGAGAGGATGATGAAGGTGAAAAAACAAAGAAGAGACGTCAGATCAAAAGCCGGTAGGTATACTTTCTATATGCAATTTTTGTATAAAACATTTAACAACTGTTTGAGTATTTATTAAAACAAAAGCACAAGTTGTATTTTCATGTTTTGTTGTCTGTCAAACTGAGCTTGAGAGAACAGAGAGGTAGAGATTACATTTGGTTTATTTACACAAGGGCTTAATTATAAAAAAGACAGGCAGAAGGAGATAATTACAGATTGGAAAGTAGAAAAGAATAGCTTTCAAAAGAGCAGTCAATGGAGTGGCTATAGCACCCTAACAAGAACTTTCAAAAGAAATTTGCAAAGCCCAGGGAAATGTAGGTTCTCTTTTAGGGTGGTACACTGGGGCCAGACTGGACATTCTGTCATCTTCACTCCTTCAGGGTCGTTGTTGTACCCCAGAAAAGTTGGCTTACAAGTTAAATCTGCATGTACAAAAGTGATAGTATGGACAAAAGTATGGATATAATGATCTAGAAGTCTAAAGAGCTGCCATTATCTCTGTAGGCTAGTTTAGTCATTAAGTCAGTACACAGGCCCTTTTTATATGCCATCCTCCTCTGGCCGACACTGAATAGCAAACAATAACTGCAATAACTTCCCATTGTTTAATGGGAAAAACTAACTACCAACAGCTTGACTAAACAAGACTGAGGCTGTGACTGAGTCCTGAACACAGACTTCTAGTTCATGTAAGGACTAACTGAAGCTTGTTGAGGCTTTTCCTGGAACATCCAGACAGCAGGGCATTACAGTAATCCAGCCTTGAGATAATAAATGCATGAACTATTTTTTCTGCATCCTGTAGATACAGTGCATTTCTTAATTTTGCAATATTGTGAAGATGGAGGAAAGCTATTCTAATAATATTGGTTATATATTTAGCGAAAGGCAGATCGGGATCGGTTGTGACACCAAGGTTTTTTACCTGATGCAACTGAGAGTTAGGTTTAAGCGTTACATTAGACAGTTTGTTTCTAGCAGCTTTGGACCAAGCAGCTTTTTACACAGTCCTCAATCTTATTAAGTTGATGTTTATCATCTAGTGTGGTCGATTTGTACAATTGTGCATCATTAGCGTGTGGAAATTGATGCCTTGTTTACTGATAACGGGACCCAGTGGTAGCATATATAATGTGAATAATAGAGGTCCTAAAACAAAGCCTTGTGGAACACCATACTGTGCTCGTGTAAGAACAGAGCGTTTGCCGTTTATATTTACAAACTGATTGCAATCAGTCAGGTAAAACCTGAACCAGAAAAAAGCTCATCTGAAAGGAACAAAGGAAACAATATTAGCAGTGGGCAAATATAAATCAGAGATTTGTGTTTTATGTGTGTCTTAGGTTAAAAGGTGGACTTGTTTGGTGAGTTCAGAAATCATAAGTCCCAACAAAGCCAATTGCTGAGTTTACTTGAGAGTTCATTAACATCCACAACTAAGCTGATAACTTTTGTTTTTGTTCCCCCAGTAGTTTGCCCTAAAAAGTAATAGCCTCTGAAAAAGTATCCAAGTCTGCTATTTCCTTCATAGTAAAGTCTATTGGGACTGAGGGCAGATACATATATACTACATACATTTGGGGCAGTCATGGAGGTTAGGGAACCAGCCCTGTGACCGGATCAATCCCCTGAGCTGACAGTATGTGACTGAAGTGCCCTTGAGCAAGGCACCTAACCCCCAATCACCCTCCAGGAGCTGCAGATAGGGCTGCCCACTGCTCCAGGCAAGTGTGCTCACTGCCCCCTAGTGTGTGTGTTCACTAGCATGTATGTGGTGTTTCATTGCATGGATGGGTTAAATGCAGAGGTGAAATTTCCCCGTTGTTGTCTAATAAAGGTCACTTAATCTTAATCTTAGCATACAGGTTGAACAGGACACTCGGTTCAGTTTATTTACTCACAGTCTTAAACAAAACAAAAAGCTAGATGTGTAAGCTAAGGAAAATTTTAATCAGTGAAGCACAAGCAGGGAGTAATGAAAGTATCCATATTTAATATTTTTCAATATATAGATGTTGAGTATATATATAATAATAATAATAATAATAATAATAATGTATAGAGACAAACACAGGTAATACAAATTGAGAAGACTGAGGAGACAAAGACTGAGGAATCAGAAGTAGAGGGAATGTCTTCCAGTGAAGCGTTCTGGTAAATGAAGACCGGTCAAAGTTTCCTGGATCATTTGTTGTCATCTATCAGCAATGTGCTGAAATTGTATAGCTATTGAAGGTTTTATGCATGATGGTTTAGAAAATTGTGAGTGTCGCATATACAATATAAATACATATATATTTGTTGTACATTTTAAATACAAAAATTCTTGAAGCTTAGGATATATATTTGTTTCTCTGACAGGGGACAAATGCTGTCTCTCAGAGCTGAGGATTTTGCTGTTGGGTAACAGGTTTGCTGGGAAGAGTTCAGCAGGAAACATCATACTTGGTGGAAAAAAGTTTGACTTAAATGGAACTTCTCAATGTGTGAAGAGACAAGTAGACATAGCAGGGAGGCTCATTACTGTAGTTAAGGGTCCAGAATGGTGGCCTGATACACCTGTGGAGGAGTTCTCTGAGATACTTAAAAGAGAGATTTTGCTTAGTGTGTCTTTGTGTCCTCCTGCACCTCATGCTGTGATATTGGTTATACGTGCTGACACTGTTTTTGAAGAGAAAAATAGAAAGAACATTCAAGAACGCTCGGAGCTTCTCACTGATTCAGTGTGGAGTCACACTATAGTTCTGTTCACTCATGGAGACTGTCTGGGAGACACACCCATAGAGCAGCACATTGAGAGTGAAGGGAAGGAGCTCCAGTGGCTGGTTGAGAAATGTGGGAACAGGTATCATGTTCTCAACAATGAGAACAGGAGTGATGACACTCAGGTCACAGAGCTGCTGGAGAAGATAGAGGAGATGGTGGCAGCAAACAGTGGACAACTCTTTCAGTTTCCCTGCAGTGTTCAAAAAGGACAAATAACCTTGGGGAAGGGATATCCTGGCATGTATGAACATCAAAATAGTGAGTAATAGCATAGTGAATTTCCCATTTCCAATCTATTCATTCATCTGAGCTAAAAAGTGAATAGCGTAAGGCATAAGCAGTGCTTGGCATCTCTGATATTATACAGGTTTAATTTGCTGAACTGTGAGAATTCATTTCATTTCTTTTGTACTGTTTTCCCAGTGAAGAGAGAACAGGGGTCAGATGACCGGTTTCTAGAAAGTTCTCATTTTGGATCAACATATTCCATAACTTCATCTAACAGCTCTGGATATGGGTCCTTATTTTCCATTCCTGGATCTGTCTTACAAAGACCTAACAGTATGATCTTGTCTCCACTGAGTGAGTATGTCTGAGTTATTTTACTCTGGTATTTTGTCATCACCCTGTTTTATTAAGTAAACAACATGCTTGCATTTATGTAATCTATTGTTAAGGAGTGTTAGTAAGATGTTGGATTGTTCAGGCCTATTAACCCAAAAACAATAACGGACTGGAGTTACTTGAGTAATTGTACTCATTTACTATTTCTAAGCATAGTAACTTCTTACTAACTTATTACATTTTCATCTTCTTACATTGAATTTATTTATGCGGAAGGCCAAATTAGAAACTTCAAATATGTAGTGCAGTTTTTAATATTGTCAAAGAAACAAAACAAAAGCACCCTTACAATCGGATTTATGCTCATTCAGAATATTGAGAGCCAAAGACTTCAAAGTCACACCATCATCAAATCTTTCATCATCATTATTCACAGTGAGTGATGAAGAGTGGTCAGATATGCAGTCTCCGGGACTTTCCGCCAACACTTCATCTACATCACAACTAACTGACATCAGTTCATTTTATGGATCATCACATTCCGTAGCCTCGTCCCACAGTTCTGGATCTGGCTCTTTGCAGTCTACAGATGAAATTGTGGAAATACCCAAATCCAAAAGAGCAATATGGTTGCCCAAGATTATACAAGATGTTTTTAGAAAACGAGGTGAGCCAAAAGAGGATGTGGGGAGAATGAAACAGAAAAAAGTGGAGAGGAAAGTGAGAAGGTGAGTCCTCAGAAAAAGGTAGACCATTAAAATCATAGTGCTCCTTTCAGTTGGTGTCCTAGAGAAGAAAAATCTATAGATAATGTGGCCTTTCACTTCTTGTTATAATTATCGTCATTGTCCTGCTTTTTGTCTTGTAATTTGCACAGTCAGGCCCTTGCGAATATATGCAGCATTAGCATTATTCCACATAAAAATCAAATGTTTTGACTGCTGATGCTGCTAGTGGCATAGATTTGAGCAAATCTCTTAAGACTTAGGATCAAGTGTGTCAAACACTGGATGCTATATTTTTGTCTTATGTTTCATTAAACCACTTAAGATGAGCATCTAAAAGTAGTCTATCATGCTAAGACAACTGAAACACTTTACTACCCCACAGAAATACATATACCATAGTGTGAGTCGGTACTATTTCAGGATAGATTTGTTACAGGATTGGTTCACATGCATTTTTTTTCTTTCTCTGATATCCAGTCCACAATTTTCTGCTGAAATCGGCCAGATAATCATCGATATTGATATAGCATCCATACATAACATATATTAATATTCTATTGCAATTGGTTTCCAAGCTGTTTGCTGATAGCACGTTGTCTATAGAAAAAAGGCTAACTAATCAACTTATTGCAACAATCAACAATGAATGATGGGTTTTATGTTTTCATTCTAGAGATCAGAAGTCATTAGTTGCAACCTGTGAAATCAGCTGTCACTCAGGTGAGTTATCAGAAAACATATTGTACTATGTTGTTACTATTGCATTGTTCTTGCAATGGAGTTGCTCAGCTCCTTCATTTATTATATGTTGACTTACCTTACTGTCACATAATATTCTGCACTGGATTTGAAGCCAGGGCACATACATTTCTTTTCAATGCAGTGCTAGATCTGTGTTTTTGAATCAGTCTCTTATGGTTGAACTTGCCACCAATAGTGGAAAATGTACTGAATGTATTTGCTAGATTTAGTAGAATTAGGAAGTAACCTGTTTTCAAATTATGTACCAAAAGTTAAAATAAACTGGTTACCAATAAGCAACAAAAATAAAATTGCTATATTAAATTTATATATTAAAAGCCAAGTACATAAATTTCTGAAGTAATAATAATAATAATAATAATATAGATAGATAGATAGATAGATAGATAGATTCTGTTGAGTTCCTGGATCAAAATAACAGGGATCCTGTTGTTTTGTGGACCTTAATGGCCAATAGTAGAAGGCTGTCCATCTAGTACAGTGAGTCTATCTTTGATACAGTGCTGAATCTGTCCATAGCCAGTGCCTCCATATGAAGAAACGTGTTTTAACCTGTAGATAGAAACTACCAGAGCAGTGCTGCATCTGTCCATAGCCAGTGCCTCAAGGTCACGGTTTGTGAGCACTTGATCCCTCTCACACCAATAGTCGACCAATACTATCATTTAGAATCACGGTAAAATGATCATGGCAAAATTACTCATCTAAAGGTGGGTCATATCTGACTTAATTCATTTGTTTCATTCAGCTGTGGACAAGACTAGTGGGTCCAATCACCTTGGTATTAGTTTTTTAATTCATGATTGAATGAACCATATTTGCTTGTATGTTTTTTTTCTCAGAAATATTGCTGCTTGGAACTTCAGACACAGGCCATGTGAATACAACGGTTTTCTTACATAAAGTATTTACATATATTAAAGAATCAATTCTATTTCAAGATTATTTATTGTAGATTTCTTCTGCTGTTCTCCACTTCAGCAGCCGTCAGCCGATACTGAAGTATTCATTCCTGAAGTGATGAGTTCGAAGGTCAAGAACAGTAGTTCATACAGGTACTCTGTCTGCTGATATCATTGTGCTCCTCAAAAACCAGACCATGAAGACATGACACCATTTTACAACTGTTCTACTGCTCTGCAGGTTTTTGAGCCCTCATGCTGCTCAGTTTCAGTGCAGTTTGACCAACCTTGTGTTTGAGATGGAGAGTGAAGGAGAGGTGCTGTACAGAATAGACTCCTGGGATGCCCGTCTGTTGGATGGTTTAGGCCAGATGAAGCCTGCAGGTCCTCTGTACAACATTGACTGCTTTGGAGGTTCAATCAGTCATTTGCACCTCCCACACTGTGAGATAGTACAGGGTAAGTTGAACAGAGTGTACTTATTTTAGAGTGTTATTTAGTAAGTTGTATTTCCTTGGTACAGCATCCTCCTAATACACTCCTGGATCCCATTTCAAGACTATTTTTAACATGTCCTCACCCACTTTGACTCATCACTCAGATATGTATGTGTACTTTACACAAGTGGCCACTCGTGGCAGAATGGGAGGACGGGACAGTGTGGAGTTGATCATTTAGTTACACTCAGCCTGAAGTCATAAAGTTGTATCAGCAATCACGTATAACATATGGAGTAATTTACCTAAAGTCCAGCAAATCGAATGTAATGGTTTTGAAATATTAAGCAGTTTAATGACATTTACTGGCTTTTAAACAGCGTTTTCCACCATTATTTTTGTGTTTAAAAAGGGAAATTTGTCAGGATGAAGTGATTTCTGGGCAGGTTCTGCTGCTGAAGTTGATATTTGTATTCACTCAGTCTTTTGCTCCTCCAAGGGCTCATCTAACACACTTCAGTTGAGCATGTAAAGTAATGGAGCATCCTTTTAATGCCCCCAAGGGGAAATGGCAAGGCTAAGTGGACAATGGCTTGTTTAAACCAGTACAGACTTCCCATAGCCAGTGTACTGGATCTATTTCAGATAATTATCAAACTCTTCATGGATGCTGAGGGAAATGATGGGCTGGTTTGAGTAATAAATGTCTATGAATCCACACATTTATTTTATGCTGTACTTAATTCAAGAGCACGTCAAGCCTCTCTCAGCTGAAAAAATACAGCCAAAGGTGAGAACTTAGTGGTAACAAGGTAATCAGTGATTAGAATCGTCTTCACATGCCCCTTTTCAACACCAGGTACCACTGTATAAACCTAGCTAATGATATTAGGTCAAGCAATACTTACAGTACCAAAATTATTTCTGTTTTGGATAATTTGTTTTCAATGATAATGACAGCATACTGAGGGAGACCTTGAACTTCTGATTGTTCATTTAATGCAGGGGGAAACCAAGCTGAGCTGGTGGTGGCACATTTTACTGGTGATAATGTAGAGCTCATTCAGCCACTGAAAAAGACAAACACACATGTGATTATTAGCATCCAAGGCTTCTCTCTCTTTGGCCTTTTAAAGAAGATGATTTTCTCTGCCAGTCCTGTCAATGGCCAAGTATTACTGTTCTATAAAGAAATTACTGGCAAACAAACCAGGAAAAAGCTACACATTCATTTGCTGCCGGGGAACGTGCCAGCTGATGAGGTAATCTGCTTTGAAATTAAACTCATATATTATTTTGGCAAAGATTCTATTTTTATAACCAAATCCAACCTACTAATTGAAGAGAAGGTAGCGAGAAGTTTTTCTGAAAACAATAATCCCAAGTACACAGTGTCAGCATAATAATCACAGGAAAAGAAAATCTCACTCTTCTGGCAGACAGATTTTTAGCTAGCTATAAAAAATGACCATATCCTTTTGTGGACTCTTTCATGTAGTGATGAAGTGATGTCATTAATTAATATCTTTTTGTAATGAAGTAAAAGTATTCAGAAACTCTTTATGTGCAAACAATATTTCTAAAATGAGCACCAGTGAACATCACTAAGTGCCTGTAACAATAATCTGCATTTGAAGGTGAAGAATCAACAGATGGACTTTAGAAACATTAAAACCAGCTCTAAATGCCAGCTGATCCCTGATAGAAAATACAGACCATCATGTGACCCTTACATATCCCAGCCAAAGGTAAATTACAACATAACAGCAACATGGTTACTATTAAAATAGCTCCCTCTTGTGGAGAGAGTTACATTGTTGATGCTTTTTGGAAGAATTTTATTGGAAGGCTATTTTGCTTCCCTGTAGGTTGAAATGTTTGACTATGACTATGGCCCCCCATCCCACATTTGAGGTGTTTCTTGACTCCACAGCTGAGGATCTCACAGTAGGTCTTTTGGATGAAGATGGTCAGGATGTTTGGGAGCCCCGGCTGGTTCTTCTTACAGGTAACCAATGCAGCTGAGAGGTAACCCACCAGCACTGTTCCCAACATGGACACTGCTGAACAGGGATGGGATGGGGGAAAAGAACACATGCTAAAAGTGAAATAGTGTAACATTACAGTTAAAACAGGAATGGTATCCATCTTAAGCTTAAATCTTTGTATTTACTTATGTCACACAGTATCAGAAACCAATAAAATAGCCTATTTGAGATTATTTAACAACTTTATATGGTTTAAGAGGCTAGTGTGATTTTGGCATGCAGTTTACACATAAAAACAGTGCCCTAATAAGCTTCCAGTAAGGCAGTAAGAGTATAGCTTATCTAAGGTATCTATAACTTATCTAAAAATTATTCACATTTATCAAGTCAGAGATTGCTTTAAAACATTTTTTTGATTAATTGACTGTAGATCAGTGGGTATGACTTAACGCAGTTTAACCATAATTAAAATGATTCAAAGGGACAAATTATTGTAAAAACACGTTCTGTGCCTGAGTACTTTGCTAGAGCTCTGCTATGCTAAAGCAGTGACAGCAACAACAGATTATTAAGATGGCAGTGTATTTCAAACTAATGTAACATTCATTTCAAAGCACAACAGTGGCTTTTTGGCCAAAATGATGCAGTGTTTTGAGTTTGTATGGTGAGATATGCCCTGCTTGCTGACCAAAAATCCTAATCACAGTGTCATTTGTTCTAAGATCTCTCGCTCACTGCAACTGGCCCACTGCAGAAAGTGGTCTAGCACTGCAGAGACATATGCAAGTTCATTTTAAGTGTAATTATGACAGTAGTTTGATTTTGTTTAGTCTTTTCGTTATTTGAAGGACACCACCAGCTTTGGCCAGTGTGTAACAGAAAGACAAGAAACATGCTAGTGCACATCAATCAATAATTCTGTATATTAGTTACATATTTACATATGTAAATATTTAAATATTACATATTTTAGTTGTCATATACAGTACTGTGCTGTGTTGCACAGAGACCGCCTTTATTTTTTCATAATCATTTAACTGCAGGGAGATTTTTCCACACCTTCAAAGTTCAGTCTTAGATGTTGGTTAAATATCCTGCTTCAGAGAATCCAAATAGTCCAACACATTCAGTGATGTTGAGGTCTGGACTGGGGTGGTCAGTCATTGTTCAGCTTCTTTGTTTGATGTGTCCGCCTCTTTTTCTCAGTGAGGTCTTCTTAACAGTTGCACATCCTTTCAGACCCATAGTGCTGAGTCGTCTTCTCACAGTGGAAGGATGCTTGATTTTCTCCTCTCTCTTGAAGATGAAAGCTTTAAGTGCTGTTTATCTGATGTGAACAGTTTTGGTGTCTACCAGGTTTTGCTGTTTGGAGTCTTATTTACTCAATTTTTTGAGACTGCTGTTTTTCATTTAGCTTCCTTTGACCTTACCCTTCTTTATACAAGTGGTCTGTTATATCTGATGATAAAAAATAATTATTTAATTGAAAATTAAATAAATGAAGGGTGGTCTCTGACTTTTGCACAGTACTCTAGCTAGAAAAGCCTATTGTAGGTGGTTGTTAATTTACCTTACCTTTTCTTAACTGAGTGTGTGACAGTGTGATGGGACTAAGCCGTCTTCTCATCTTGCCATTTCAGATTATGGTACAGAGGCAGCCCCACGCAAGTTAGATTCAACAGGTAAGAGTTCCTGACTTTACTATAAATGAGTCTAGTTATACGTCAAAATTCTACAGTGAAAAAACACAGCTGTCTGAGTGGAACTGAATGCTCTTTTAAAGGTGCTTTTGCCTGTTTGACTCCTTCCTCACTTATCTAACACATTCAGTGCTAATATCAAACATATAGGAAATCTTGCTTTGCATGACTTACTGCCAGATTAAATCTTATATGCGTGTGAATGAGTTCTATTGGCCGTAAATCAGTATTGTTGTTGCTAAAAGATATTAGTCATAGAATAAAGCCAGCTGAACTTCTAAGACTAAAGATTTCTGTTCATTGTTTCATTTAATTTTACAGCTTCATAAGTTCATTTTAGGTCTTGATTCATGTTTAAATCTCAGGTGCTGAGTTTGTGGATGAAAACAGAGAAAGGCTCATTCAGAGAATTCCCTCAGTGATGGAGACAACAGACTGTCTAAAAAGTAAAAACATGATCACTGATGAAATGTACAGCAACATTCAAACTGCAAAAACATCTCAGAGCAAATGAGGATCTTGTACAGAGCTCTAGACTCAGGAGGAGCAGCTGTGAAAGCAGAATTCTATGAAATCCTTAAAAAGAAGCTGCCTTTCTTAGTGGATGAACTGGAGGCTGGACCCAGCAAAGCTTAGTGGATGTTTAAAGAGGAACTTTATCTATTTTGAACACCAAACACTCCAGCAGCTAATATGCATGTTGCCAGCAGGGTAACCATGCCTTAATAGCTGCTACAAAGAGAACTGCTCCATTAGTGAGCCAGTCAGCTCTTCTTCATGAAATTGTTTTCTCTGTCCATCTCAGCAAACTCTTTTTGTGTTGGTTGATATAAATATTTACATGGATATAATTACATGTATATATTTGAAAGACATATTTGGAATTTCTGTTTGAGATGATTGCATGACTTCAGAGGGCCATTTGATGGAGTGATGCCCCACCACTTTTTTGAGTTGAGGCCACTTATTTGGGGAAAAAAACACTCCCTAACACTCCCTAACTGCAAGGACCACTGACCTATAGACATGAACAGACAGACAGAGACAAATAAAACTTCATTTTAGCTGGGGGGTTGGGGGTGGGACATGTCCCAAACCTTTCCCAAACAGTGAGGGGACCTGATCCTGTAAATGTGCCTTACATAAATAACATTGAAGTACTTGGTCAGATTTTGTTTCCAGACTGAATGTAAGGTGTAATGTTTTTTTTCTGCTAACTTGCTAACTAGCATTTGAGGTTCTTTACAGATAGAACTAAAGAAGTTAACTACCTGAGCAGAGCCCAGTGAACTCCACATGGTCTAAATATCTGAGACAATGTTAGACTGTTATTAAATTCTAGCTATGACCTCAGCTGTTTTTCTTTCTAAAGAATCAAAAACATGTGGCCAACTGGTTTTGGAGATGTGGTGCCACGTTTGGATCACTGTAAAAAAAAAGAATAGAAAAAGAAAATGTTATATTACTATTATTATTATTATTATTATTATTATTATACATATTTACAACATAATATATTAATACTCAATATTTTGTCTAAATACATAAAGTGCCCTGAGCATCAGAATCATACAAGGCAAAATCTCATAAAAAGTTTTAAAGGTTATGGCTGGAAATGAGTTTAGTTGTCAGGACTTTTCTCACAACTTAGAATGAAATCCACTGAAATCACCTTCACTTGTTAGAATTCCCACAAATGAGAAATGTTTCATGACAAGACAGTCATAAATGCCTAAGAATGTGTTAATTGTGAATCTGCCACTAACTTAATGCACACCTTGTTGTTTTAGATGGTAATTAAGTTAACATGAAAGAGAGATAACAGCTCTTGCTAAAATCTGTTATTTTATTTGTTATACTTGACTATGAACCACATCCTTTATGTGCCAAGGTGCCTTTCTTTCTCTTTGTTTATCAGACTGGCAAGGTTACATTTTTTATCCAGGCCATTGTTCTCAATTTTTCTTAAATCAGTATCCTTTGATTCTAGCAGGAGAGACTAATTTCCCCCTCCAGAAAACTGATTTTTGAACTGACCTTATCAATGGGCTTCTGTTTGTTTCATTAATGGACCAGCAAAGTGAGAAAAAGAAGATCAAAGCTTCATGATGGTGACCAGGGTAATTTTATTTAGGTGTTTTCTACCCAAAGAATTATATCTGTAGTAGTGTACTCTGTCATGACTACTATACTGTAATTATTCTTGTCATACTTTTTATGTATTTGAGGGGATTTATTATTTTATGTAATGTGATGTTGGTTTGGGTACATTTATTATTTTTCAGAGTCCTGTGGATACATATGCTTAGCTTGTCTTCCCTAATCTAGTTCATGTTTTTTGCGACATTTGGATGCAAGTTTGGTTGTCCTGTATGTCCCTGATTTTGAGAGCTTATATGGTCCTGTTCACACATTTTCTAAGCTGTAATTATTTAATTCTATTTAATTCTCATAGCTTACTCATTCCTGTGTGTTAGTTACATGAAAATGAAAATGAGTGCTTGGAATTGTCACAATTAGCAGATTAGTATGGCTGCTTGTTTATTAAGTCTATGCTAGATTGCTAGATATTGGCAGCAGCTCAAGTCATCAGATATTAGAAGACAGTTTTTAATGCCTTAAACTTCTGTTCTAGTTTCTATAGAAAGATGAATTCTTACAGCAGAGTGCTGATTAAAATCTCAGATTTTCAAAATCTCAATATTCAGCTGTTTGTAATCAAAGCTCTGCATGTTTACAGTGTACTGTGATACACTGTATATATACGTATACGTGGGACAGAGAAACAGCAAGAAAATGAACATCTAAAGCCTACCCTACTGTGCTAAACATACTTGTCCCTTAACAGATGTGGAGGTCTCTGGTCAATTTCTTCGTCACTTGCAGCTTGTGAGGGTGGATTCCTCATGGCTGCATCAAAAATGAAAGAAAAAGTAAGCAAAATTGGTTATAAACACTCAGCAGAGAAAACGTAAGGATGAGAAAAACACCAAGAAAAAGAAAAGACATGTACAATAGAATACAAGAAGGAGCGTGTTATTGTGAATAACAATGTACTATGTTTTTCACATCACACAATCTTGAAAGCAACATTTTTGCAAATTAAAGAAAAAAGCAAAGCATGTGAGCCATAGTTCTACGTACATCATAAAATTCATAACATTGGCAATATTTTGAGCTAAATGACACAGCAAAACATATAATAAAATCTGTTCTAATAATATG